AGAATACTCTTCTAGTAAAAGATTAGTTTCAAATTTCATAACAGTATGTTAAACACTTCGATCTTCACAGAATCAGGTAGTTGCGCTCTATAGAAAGAAAATGTTGTAATATAATGCTGTGTTTATTGTTGTTTATTGTTGGTTTTTATTTCTTTTAGTTTAAGTGAAGTAAGATATGTGTTTTTGCTTCATCCTGAAAAAATAAAACAAGGTCATGACCTAAATCGATGAAAAGTATCATTACTTGATAACAATTTACATATATTTATATTTTGTTAATAATAAGCAAGTCATTATGGACAATTTTGCAATATCATGGTCATGTTTAATTAAATCAAATCACAGAAGGCGCTGAATTTGTTTGGGTCTCAGAATGTCAGAAAAGTAAAGGCTGTGATGTTGTAAACCAATTTGTTTTTGTATAGTGCCACCAATGTTGTTTCTAGTGTCATAACTGTAGTAAATTGGCTATAAGGCTTATTGCAACACTGATATGTAATTCATTGTTTATTTGGCTTAAACAATTAAAAACAAAAACAAAACAAAACATGAGTTGCCTTAACTTGGATTTGAACTCAGGACATCTCTCTTCCTAAACGAGCGTGTAACCCCTCGACCACTAGGAAGTTATAAGATAACAGCCTGAAGAAAACCATATTATTCTAAATTAGGGTTTTTAACCCTTCTTATTAATTTTGTTTGACACTGATGTAAATAATCATGGAGCTTAATATTACATGTATATCTGTAAAGAATTACACAATATTTGAAATCTTTGACCAATCGGGAACTACTTTTTCTTTTCCCGAGAAGGCTTGAAAATTAATGCGCCCGTCATTTGACAATCTTAACACAGTGACCCCCCCCTTATTTTTTCAGCGTTAGAGTACATATAAAGGTAAGTAACCGCTTCCAGGGGTTCGGACTACTTTTTTATTTTGCAAATAAGCATATCAGAGCCTGAAATTTCGCTACCATTATTTGTTTGGTCTGACAACCCAAACAATAAAAAATGTAGTCGCCATTGCTTAAATTTTTAATGTTTAAAGGCACGAAGCTTTAAAAAATAACTTTTAATTCATGTAATTAGGTCATTTTTGGTTTGGTTTCACGGCTCATAAAACTGACATTATCATGTGGCGACTTTCGAGTTTTACAAGTGCCCCTTTGGGTATAAATAAAGGAACGAACGGGCACCTGAGTAAAACGACCGACATTCTGTACGGTAGTAAGAAAACTTTCTCACATAAAAAATCGAAACATCTAAGTCACTTTTGGTCTCGTACCTACTTCATGAAGTATATAAAACAGAACGCAGCCTCCAAAATCCAATCCATAGCATTTGATTGACAAAATGGGTATTATTAAAATATCATTTTATTTTTAACACAAACACGCAAGCACACATATACATGAACTCAAGTGTTAAATGCATCTTGAAATGAAAGTCCAAGATAGGCATAATTTTACCAAATTTCCTAACATGTATATCCTTACATGTATATGTAACAAGGTTACCTTGTATAAACTACGTTACGTTATATAACTGGCCTTGTTCCCATATGGGTTCTTCAAATTATCAAATTATTAATTTTGATTGCACGTAAAACTGCGAAATATATTTGTCCATATGTAGATAATTTGATAATTTCGATACATGCAATTAGTTTGGGACCCTGGCAGATGATTCATACCAAACATCATGTGGCCGGAAAAAAACTTTAAACTTTCCGTGATTTAAAAAAATCCGCTTACATCAAAACCAGCGTTTTTTCTCCAAATTCGATTATTTAAACAACAGTTTGCAAGGAACATATATTTCCAACTTAATCCGAACTTCTTGTTTGTTTATATATTCATACTACGTTTAGACAGTCATTTATATATTCGAACAAACAAATTAAATGAAATAATAATCGCACATAACAGATGTCCATGAATTTCACATTTCGTTTTATAATCCAAAAGAATATACCTAATTGTCTCAAATGAAAATCAAAACAAAACAAAACTTTGAATGTCTTCCGTATCCCTCCCTAAAATTTTAACATTTTATAGCCAAATATTAATTGCTCAACATAAAAAATCGAATTTTGAATATATAATGCCTAAAAATAAAAATGAATTAAATTAAAATGAATTAACTTTTTGTTTGAAAGTATATCTTGTTACTTTCTGTAAAATAGAGAAAAATAAGAATCCCTAAAGAACGCTCAAAACGACAAAATTGAGAATGTTGCAGGCTCGGTTTGATTAAGCCTGTTCATGGACGGTAATGGAAAGTGCAAAGTACCGTCCACGTCCCCTAGCACCGGCTTAAGTAAAATTCAACATTTAACATGAACTGGTACAATTTTGAATTTTGAAACATCCGCAGATGTATTAATATGGTGATTATCATGGAACCTTCAATGTGACACGTAAATGCAATTCCATGAAAAACGGCATATGGTCCCCAAGTAAAAAAACAAAACACACTCTGAAATTCAGTAAGAGAAACATGGCGCCCTCTACTTACTTTTTTATTTCTTGGTCAATTTTGACAATTTTAGACTCAAGTAAAAGAATCCTTCATGAACTTTCTAGTGATGCCTTAAAAATGAAAATTTATTACGTAGAAGTATTAAAAATTTTGTTTCAAACTTATCGTTGTTTATTTTTTCTCTCTTAAAACTACACTCATAAATTCGCCAAGAAAATCACGTCGCTTCCTTTAGATACTTTATTCAAAAAAGAAAATGAATATTGAATGAAAGTTAAGACCATAAGCTTTGAACAAGTATATTAAATATCTGGAAACAAAGTGACCCTCGGAAGCATTAATCACAACAAAATTACATAAGAATTGCAGACTCGGTTTGATTGAGTCTGTACATGAGGGATAATGAACAAGTGCAACATCCCTCACGCCCCCCTTAGCACCGGCTTGAGCGGTACTCAATTATCATCACTTAATAGCGCTTGCATCAATGATCTCGAAGGACCAGAAAAATATAACAACACTGAAGTGAAGTACGGGGCAACTTTTCACAGCTGCCACACGGCACTTGACACCTGCTGTATACAAATCTGGAAACAAAGTGTTCCATCGGAAGCATTAATCACAACAAAATTACATAAGATTTTCAGACGTTTGATCGAGTCTGTACATGAGGGATAATGAACAAGTGCAAAAAGTTTTTATTTATACTGAAAATACCCTATTAAAGAGTGTACATATGTGCTACGGATAAGTATTTTCTTGATTTCAGAAAGGAAATCTCGGTGGCCGCTTTAAAATCCTATTTTTGCAAATACTTGCATAGTTTTTGTTGAAAATGAAATTTGTGCCAATACATTTTTCAATGATACCAATAAAAATATTGGATGATTTTTAGATTATCAATAAAATTAAAATTTCCAAATCGCCGATGTTTCTCAAGAAAACACAATGTTAAATAATAAGTTAATGCATAAGTTATCTTCATCATAAATGGTAAAATCATCAATTGTCAAGTGATGTTGCTAGTGACAAAACTTTTGTAACAAATGTAACAAATATATGTTATGAAAAATGCGGTATGTTGTCCTTCAGTTTTATTTAGAAATATGGGGGAGGCGCCGTTTTATACCTGTCCGCAATAGAAGTTCGTAAATACTCCGAGAGGGGCGGGGCGTTATGCTTGACTTAAAATCGTTTAACTTTGTGAATCTACTTTTGTCATGTTAAACATGTTACTGTGTTAACGTACTCTTGTAGTTCTACAGCTGGTAACATGTTTTCTTAAACTCTACTTTCTGTATTTAAGATTTACATTTCATTTGTATATTTCTGATCTATAAGTGTGCAAACATGCATATGTATTGCATGCAATGGAAGATATGAACTTGTAAATTTGTTGTCGTTTTAGATGTTAGGTCAGTTATTACGATCTATATGTAAATTTGTAATATAAAGGCGGGAACCTTCAATTTAAAGATTGAATCAAGAGGCATATTATGTGCTATGCACGGGTTCAATAAAAAATAGTAGGCATACAATATCACTTTTTCAAAAGTCATTTTAAAAAGGAACACATTACATGTCTGGAAATTTTGACAACGAACGCCCTCCATAGAAATATGCTTTTTAAATGTCCTTTTTGATTGAAATAAATTAAAGTATATTATGCAAATACGCTACATGTTAGGTGCATATAATAATCATCTGCTAAGTATATTGATTTGAAACTTGTGTCCGTCTACTTGTCCCTCACCGCTGTAGGTTCGAATCCCACTTAGTATTCTTTAATATGAGGAAGATACTCCAGCTAATTTATTCAGGTTCCCGTTCGTGTCCGAAATAATGCACGGAGATGCACCAGCCGCCTGAGGTCTTTCTTCACCAGTAAAGCTGAAAAGTCACCATATGTCCCTACTCTGTTGGTGCGACGTAAATTCCAGCAAAAATCTATTTGTATCAGATTGCTAGCGTTCTACACAATCTAAATATCAACTTGCTTATTTTTAAGTTTATTTTAGTTCTATTGTGTTGGAAGCTCTATGAGTGTTAAACACTGGCATTGGGACCAACCAGTACTAAGCAATAAGTGTAAAGTTTTTTAATCACGGTAAAAACGTCTTGCCCCTGGGTTTGAACCCACGCCGCCAGCAATCTTTAGATGACTAGTCCGACGCGTTAATCACTCGGCCATACCGCCACTACCTTGATTATTTTTAACATAGGTCTTTAAATGTGTTTGATGAGTTCAAGACCCAATAAAACAAATAATAATAAATCTCAAATACATGCACGCGCGATATATATTCTCACTTTTACACAATCGCAAATTGCACATCTGTAAAGCGGTGTCAGTGAGTAGGTAATCAATTAACACTTCAATCAAAAACATCATCAGAGATATAATATATAATCTGTAAGATTTTACCGCCTTTTTCAGACAATAATAGTCTAAATTTGATACACATGAAATTTTGCTTAGCTAGTTTCTAACTTGCCTTTAAGCACCGGTACCAGTTAATTACTGGTTCTCCGCGTTACATCGTATAGAGGAGAACCATTGTCTAACTGTAACGGATTACATAAACCGGTTTTGAAGGCTTGAATGTATTCAAGCATACATGTGTATTTATACACGGGTATAAATACCCGCGGCAGAGTATGAAAATCAGTTCTAGCGATATTTCTCTTACGAGATCACCAGCATTCAGCTAAGCATGGACGATTTAGATAGAGTTGTGGAGGACAAGGTCAAGGCGTCCTTGGAAGAACATAAGGAGGACATGTTGAAGGAAATAGGCAGCCTTTTTGAAAAGATAAGTGGCAATTCTAGTAGCAAATTTTCTAGTATGATGATTAACAGTGAAAAGTTTAAGCGTAAAAGCAATGAGGAACAGTATAAACATAATGCAAAAGTTATGATAAAATTAGAAGACGCCGAGAATGGCTTACAGGATAAGAAATTAGAGGAGTGTAGAGCTAATATAGCAGAAGCAAAAGAAATGATGGCTCGTCGACAGAAGCTTATAAAACTTGCGGATTCAGCTGAGTTGGGTTGGAGAGTCGTTCAGGAATATGAAGCCAATCCTTTAGCGAGCGACTCAGACGATGAAAAACGTATCTTTAAAGCGGAAGCGAGGGCTTCTAAGAAGTACAAAGCAGAGAAATCCAAGAAAACTAAGTCTGCACGTAACTGGCCATACCGGAAACAACAGCGTATGTTTACAGAGACCAGTCCCGGAAGTCAACAATTGGTAGGCCGTCAGGGGCGTAGACCTGGGCTGTGCTTTGCATGTGGCAAACCGGGGCATTGGCGAGGGGCGCCGGAATGCCCAGAAAGGAATACTAATAATAAGATAAGTAATGATTTATTTACATGCGTAAACAGAGGAAATATTTACGATGGCTGTTGTGATAGTAATTTATCAAACAGCGAAGGTGATGTATTACATATACCATATTTAAATGAGAAATATGTTGAAGAACATAAAATATGTTCACAGTTACGATCTGTAGAAGAGAACGAAGACACAGTTGTTTCACCAGTAGGTAGGTTAAAAAATTGTGTAAATAAATGGAAAGAGGCATCGGATAGTGCATATATTATTCAGGTTGTTGAAAAGGGTTATATGTTACCTTTGAAGGAAGTACCGCCAAGCGTAGTACTTAGAAATAATAGGTCCGCAAGAGATAATATTAAGTTTGTAGAAGAAGAAATAGAGCGTCTTTTAAAAAAGAAAGTAATATCTAGGTCTATGGTTAAACCACACGTAGTAAATCCCTTAACTGTCGCTTATAGCAAATCGGGAAAGCCTAGATTAGTACTTGATTGTAGACACATAAATTTGTTTTTGCATAAATTCAAAGTAAAATTTGAAGATATCAAAGTAGCAGAAAAAATGTTTGAGAAAAACTCATTTTTGTTTACATTTGACTTGAAAGGGGCATATCATCATATTGATATTTTTTCAGAGCACCGCACATATTTAGGGTTTTCATGGATAAGCGATTGTAAAACAAATTATTATTTTTTCAATTCTTTACCATTTGGAATTAGTACCGCAGGACATATTTTTACAAAAATGTTAAGAGTTGTTGTGTCTTTTTTAAGAAGTAAAGGTCACCAAGTCATTATGTTCTTAGATGACGGAATTTGTGGTCATGTCAATTATGACGTAGCTAAAAGATCCAGTGCTTGTGTGAAAACGACACTTTGTGATTTCGGTTTTCTTTTGGCAGACGAGAAATGTAATTGGCAGCCGACAAATAGAGTAGTTTGGCTTGGCCATATTCTTGATATGTCCGAAAATTTGTTATACATAACAGATTCTAGAATAGATAATCTTGAGAAATCAATAGATTCTGTTTTATTTCAAATCAAATTCGATAAATTGGGTATCATTAATGTGAAAACTTTAGCATCAGTGGTAGGAAAGATTATTTCTCTTCAAAATGTTATAGGGAATAAAGTTAGAATAAGAAGCAGAGAAATGTATAGATGTATTATGTCTAGAGCAAGTTGGAATGCTCCAGTCAAGGTAAGTGAGCCAGCTATCGCAGAATTAAAATTTCTGGCGAGAAAATGTGAGGAAATTAAAACAAAAAGGGAAATATTTCAAAGATATGTCAGTTTGTGGAGTAAGTATATATATGTCGATGCAAGTGCGGAAGGGTATGGTGGATTCATACAAAATGAGCAATTTACTGAGAAAAAAGACAAAGAGCTTGATGAAATCTATTCTCAAGGTGAGATATCTATGTTTCCTATATTGAGTGTACATTCCGAATGTATATCGGATATATGTACAGATAAACTTGGGTTCCCGGAAGTGAACCTAGTTTCCGAATACAAGTCGGAATTGAACATTAATGACAGTGGGCTCCAAGAAGTGAGCATCGACTCCGATTTTCTATCGGAAGTGTACACCTGTAAAAGCAAACTCCCGGAAGTGAGTATTAATTTCGAAGATATATTGCACACAGATAGTAGTCAAGTGCTCCCGGAAGTGAGCTTTGATACCGATTGTATATCGGAATGTCATAAAAGTAAAGACAAGCTCTCGGAAATGAGCTTAGTTTCAAAATGTCTCCCGGAAGTGAGTCATGGCTGATTAAACGAATGTAGAAATAATTCTAAAGGGCCCCAGGAGAGGGCAAGGTTTTCACAGGCGTTCCTTGTGTTGACAGGAATGATATGGTAAGCACTCTGGTTCAGAATGTACGTTATATGCCTAAAAGAAATGGTAAACTGAGTAAAGCTTACAAATCCTTTACGCCAAATAGGCCAGGGAAGGGAGGAGTAATTGCGGAAACGGAATTTCAGGTAATTGGTAAGTGGGACGATTTCGAAAGAGTTCGTAGTTCCACGTGGAGAGAAACTGAAGCTGTAAGTAGAGTGATTAAGAGCAATGCACATGTATTAAAGAATAAGCAAGTTCAAGTATTGTCTGATAATAAAAATGTTAAATCCATTTTATTAAACGGAAGTAAAATTCCAAGTATTCAAAAAACGGCATTAGATTTAGACATTTTTTGTGAAAATGAAAGTATTGTTTTATGTCCGGAATGGATTCCTCGGGAACATAATGAGCTTGCAGATTATCTGAGTCGCTGTAAAGATTGCGATGATTGGGAAATACACGACAGTGTGTTTTCACGTATTGACCGTTTATGGGGACCGCATACAATTGATCGCTTTGCCTCTCACTTAAATAATAAGTGTTTAAGATTTAATTCCCGTTGGTGGGTACCAGGCACAGACGGTATAGATTCGTTGTGCAAGAGCTGGGAAAAAGAAAATAATTGGCTTGTTCCGCCACCAAGATTAGTAGTGCACTGCATAAATAAGATAAATAGAGAGCACATCAAATGTACATTAGTTCTGCCAAATTGGAAAAGTGCTCCTTTTTGGCCGATGTTGATCAATGAAAACGGAAATTTCAAATTTTTTGTTAAACAGGTATTAAATTTGTACAGAACAAATGTTGTTGTTGGGAATGGTTATAATGGCACATTTGATAATGAACCATTAAAATTTGATATGATAGCTTTAAGAAAAATTAGTTAGGTGATGTAAGATTATTATATATGGTAATATTTTTTCAGGTGTTGGCTTAAAATCTACGTTGAAACGTAAAATGCAGGATGCTGGAGTTTATAGCAGCGAAATGGACACTATTGCTAGCAATATGGCAAGCTATTTACTGCAGTCACGTGCTGATAGTACTACAACTAAATATAAACATTGTTTTACTTTATTTAAGGAATATTGTAAAGTGAATTCGCTTACAGCACAACCCGCACAATCAATCATTGTTGCCATGTATTTGGTAAATTTATTGGATCAAGGGAAATCGTATCACGTTATTTCATCTGCATTTTATGCAATTAAATGGGTGCATAGATTAAATGATCAACCAGATCCTACGGACAGTAACATTGTACAAAATTTGTTAGAAACAGCGAAAAGAATTCGTTCTACACCAACTTCTAAGAAAGATGTTGTTGATACAGAAATGTTAAAAACTTTATGTGCTTTGTACGAGAATTCCACAGATGTTTTAGAATTAAGAGATTTATCAATGATTTTAATTGGTTATGCTGGATTTCTTAGGTTTAATGAATTGAGTAATTTATTGTGTAAGGATGTTGATTTCAAAATAGATCATATTGTTTTAAAGATTCAAAAAAGTAAGACCGATATTTATAGATCGGGTAAAGAAGTTTTAATAGCTAAAGGTTGTTCGGTTGCATGCCCGTATTCAATGTTACAAAGGTATATGACAGCAGCTCATTTGTCTGTTATTTCAGATAGTTATCTTTTTAAGCCAGCGTTTAGATCAAAGGGTAAATCATCACTTATTAAACTCAACAAAAAATTAAGTTATACAAGGGCTAAAGAATGCATTGTGAAAAAGCTTAAAGTAGTTGCTCCGTCTCTTAAATTAGGAACACATTCGTTAAGAGCAAGTGGTGCTACCATGGCCGCAAACGCTTCCGGCGTTTCCGATAGATGTCTTAAACGTCATGGCCGTTGGAAAACAGACGTAGCAAAAGACGGGTATATTGAAGATTCTGTTGAGAAGAGATTATACGTTACTAAATCATTAAAGATGTAATTAATTATTGAATTTGAATGCAATCGGCACTAAACTTTGTATGTCTATAAAATAACCTCGCTACAATGCACAACATTGTTGTTTGTTTATTGTAAGTTAGAGTAAGACTTACTGGTTCTCCGCGTTACATCGTATAGAGGAGAACCATTGTCTAACTGTAACGGATTACATAAACCGGTTTTGAAGGCTTGAATGTATTCAAGCATACATGTGTATTTTATACACGGGTATAAATACCCGCGGCAGAGTATGAAAATCAGTTCTAGCGATATTTCTCTTACGAGATCACCAGCATTCAAATTCAATATTTATTATGTTATAAGATTATGTTAAAGCCATAATTAAGCAAACTGTTTTATAAGGGAAAAATTACAATGTCAGTGAAAAAATTATTGAATGTATTGGTTTATTTCAAGTTTGTATATGTGGAACTGAACATGTATTTTGATTAAGGAAAATATATTGATATGTATATATTCAATATGTACGTTAGCATGTTTGAGCACGGTCCGTTGTTCAATATTCCGAGGAATAGTCTGAGGAGGATCACTTTTGTGTTTCCTCCGTGCATGCCCACGGATTCTACGGTTCCTCTTACATTTAAAAAAGATAAAAAGGGGTTTTACGCAGGCGGCCAGTATTCCTGTGACGAATATACGATCAAACCTGTTAAGTTTTGTTAAATTTACATTTTATCATGAAATGTCTTGGACATAGTACAACAGTTTTGATCGTGATATGCTTTATACATATGTATGTCTCATTGTGATATTTCCTCCTGTTATAACGATCTCGTAATAAAATAACCTCGCTACAATGCACAACATTGTTGTTTGTTTATTGTAAGTTAGAGTAAGACGTTCATTTTCTTCTTTAAAACACAACCATACGTTTTCATTGCATAAGAAAAATGTTTATTTGACCAAAACTGTATCATATCAATTTAGACAAGCATACAAGCAACATCAAAATTAAGTTACATAAAAGGGATATATTGTTTTGTCTACAGACTAAATAAAGTTATATAAATAAACAATTGTTATAAATTGAAAGATCCTTACATTAGAAAAAAATAAAAATTGGAATAAAAACTGTTTTATGTCTTTTACACTATATACTATCCACATGCAATGTGACCACATTTGATACATTGTGCAGAAAGAATGATTGTCACTTTGTTTCTTTAATTCAACTTTGTTGTAAATAGTGAAGGTCTTTTGCATTATCTACAGTTCATGGGGAGGGGGGGGGGGGGATTCTCCCTGTAGATTCAAGCAATCCAAATAGTGTACTCTGTAAGGGCTCCTCGCAGCCAGATGGTGTCGGGGTTTTACAAAAAGAACGGAAGGTAGCTACATCCTCCATGTCTATTGCAAATGTATAGTCTCTACTTTATATTCTAATTGGTTTAATTTTAATGTGCATATTACGAGGAAAAACGGAAAATTTATATTTAATACATGCTTTTCAGTTGAAAGTTAATTTAATATGTATTTGTTTTATATGACAACGAATGTGAGATTTTTATATCACGTTAAATAAACAAAATAAATTTGTTTTGGCGTTTTATGCGCGCTTGAATATTGTATTATATGTGTGTAATATTGAGGTCATTGTACACTGTTGAGTCCAATTGATTTCTATTAGACAGTGTCTGTTTTAAGTTTTGCAGCTGTGTACGAATCCAATAAAAATCAGTATTGTACTCAACAATGTATAATAACCAATTTTTCTTCAGAGCTGTAGTTGTTCTTTGAGGGAAAAAAATGGTATGCATTTTTTTTGAACATGAAAAATGATAACGTGGCTTAATTGAACAATGTGCATATAGTATGGAACGCCATAGCTGCCTCATGTTGTTATAAATCGTTTTATTTTTCCCTAAAAGCGTCTTATTATGTATAATAGTAGTGTTGGCTTGCCAACGTTTTATGAGAACCTGTCTTAACGAAGTCTTATTAGGTCAAATATTCATGTTATCTTGTCAAAACGTGGTGATGACTTGTCTAAACACTGTTTTATTATTTCAAAACATCATGTTATCATGTAAACATGCCTAATGGAAATCTTTATATGAGCCGTGTCATGACAAAACCAACATAATGGGTTTGCGACCAGCATGGATCCAGACCAGCCTGCGCATCCGCGCAGTCTGATCAGGATCCATAATGTTCGCTTACCAACCCTATTGCAAGTAGAGAAACTGATAGCGAACAGCATGGATTCTGATCAGACTGCGCGGATGCGCAGGCTGGTCTGGATCCATGCTGGTCGCAAACGCACTATGTTGGTTTTGTCGTGACACGGCTCATATGTCTAACATGCACGCCATCTTTTCAAATTAAGATTTCAACATGTCTAAATACAGCCTTGTTTAAATGTGGTGTTGAATTGTCTTGAAATTGTCCCATTATGTGAATCAGTATACTGTTGCATTATGTAATCCTGTCGTTTTGTTTTGTCCAAATGTGGTATTGTCTTGTCTAAACGCCGTCACATTTTGTCAGACTTTCATGTCATGGTGTTCAAATTCGGTGTTATCTTGCCTAAAGAATGTCTTTTATATCAAAATAGCATGATATCTTGTCCAACTGTGGTAATAAATTGGCTAGAAATTGTTTTATTATGTCAAACAGTAGTGTTATCATGTCGGAACTTGGTGCCAACTTGTCAAACTCATGTCTTATCATGTCGGCTAGAAGTGATATCTTGTTCAACCTTTATATCGACTTGTGTGGGTATTTTCCTGTTATTTGCTTTGTATGGGTGGGTGTTATTCTGTCTTGTTGTGCCAAAACGTCATACTTTCGTGTTTAAAACTGTTGTTATCCTGTCTAAAAATATACTTATTATGTAAAATACTAGTGTTGGCTTGCCAATAAATTATGTTTGTTTGTGTAAACGTTATTTTATTATGTCAAACATTATTGTTGACTTGTCGAAAGATGGTATTGACGTGTCTAAACACTGCCTTATTTTCTCAGATCGCCATG